TGTTACTTTAGAAAATATGTATATAATGTAAAAAAAATTTATAACAATTGAACTCCATAAATATTGAATAAGAATATAATCTATATATATATATAAATATATATATATACACACACACACACACATATATATATATATATATTTATATATATACAGAGTATCCCAAAAAGATCGGAACACTGAAAAATCTCGAAAAATATACGTTTTACAAAAAAAAGTTTTAGACAAAAGTTATAAAAAATCTACTTATTGATCTGATCAGTTTGACCTTGGACAGTGTTACCAAGGTCAGAATAAGGTTACCTTAAATTTCTTAGATGTAATCCTATATCTTTTATTACATATTTTTGTAGCTTATCTCGAAGGCTTTCCAAAACACTATAATAAAATGATTTTTCATAAAGTGCTCTTTGAGTTATAAAGGTTAGAAGCTAACAATTTTTTGACATAAACTATATCTTTATAAAATATTCCATTTTCGATAATCATACGTACTTTTTTGCACAGTATAATAAGAAATCAATTTATTAAAGAAAACAGATAATTGAATATGTAATATTCAATATGCAGCAGCATACTTTTTTTATAAGCAACTGTGTTTTTTTACACCAATTCATTGGTCTCATTATTCCGTGCAAAAAAGATATGATTACCGAAAATGGAATATTTTACAAAGATATTTTATATTTTATGTCAAAAAATTGTTAGCCTTTATAAATCAAAGGGTACTCCATAAAAAATATTTTTATTAGTGTTTTGGAAAGCTCTCCAGATAAGCTACAAGAATATGTAATAAAAATTATAGGATTTCATCTAAAAAATTCAAGGTGACCTTATTCTGACCTTGGTAACGCCGTCCAAGGTCAAACTGATAAGATCAATAAATAGATTTTTTATAACTTTTGTCTGAATCTTTTTTCTGTAAAACGTATACTTTTCGAGATTTTTCAGTGTTCCGATCCTTTTTGGGACACTCTGTATATATATATATATATATATATATATATATATATATATTATAATATATACACATACCTATTGATTTATTTAGCAATCTGTCTATCTATCGAACTATCTATCATCTATCGATCAACCTATCTATCTATCTATCTATCTATTGATTTATCTGTCTCTTCTTTCTTTTCTACATTGCATTCTTTTATATATGTACACGTATATAATAATTTTTTAAAAATATTGTACATTACAAAAGTAAAAATAATTAAATTTATAATCTAATAATATATAAAAATCTTTTATGAATATAATAATTACAAAGTTTTAGTAGATAATTTTTTGTAATAAATAAATGATTTATTCTTATCTAAATACTGCTCTGTTTTGATAATAATAGCATTATTATGTATTCAATCTCTAAAATACTTTTATATAAATCATTACAAAGAATTATTTACTTTATAATCAATTATAATTATTATAGATAGGCCTGTTTATACACATACACAGACATATATATATATTGTGTGTAAGTGTGTGTATGTGTATAAACAGGCCTATCTATAATAATTATAATTGATTATAAAGTAAATAATTCTTTGTAATAAATGATTTATATAAAAGTATTTTAGAGATTGAATACATAATAATGCTATTATTATCAAAACAGAGCAGTAGTTAGATAAGAATATATCATATAAATCATTTATTTATTACAAAAAATTATCTACTAAAACTTTGTAATCATTATATTCATAAAAGATTTTTATATATTATTAGATTATAAATTTAATTATTTTTACTTTTGTAATGTACAATATTTTTGAAAAATTATTATATACGTGTACATATATAAAAGAATGCAATGTAGAAAAGAGAGAAGAGATAGATAGATCGATCGATAGATAGATAGATAGATAGATAGGTTGATCGATAGATGATAGATAGTTCAATAGATAAACATATTGCTAAATAAATCAATAGGTATGTATATATATATATATATATATATATATATATATATTCAGCATTGCCGACAGCACCAGGTTGATAATCCCTGAACAGGGCCCAGGACTTATAATTTTGCAATTTTTTTGAATAAAATAATTTATTCATGAAACTAATAAAATTATAACAAGAATATGTAATAAGAATATTTTTAAATTGATCTGTGTATTGGTTTAATTTATCGTCATCGAAGAGGAAAGAAGGAAAATCTCCGATTACGTTTATTTGTCAATCATAATTAAAAATATTCGAAAAATCATATGCTTTTGTTTTGTAATTGTCAATCTAATCTTTGATTGACTTCGCACGATAAGAAAATTAGTTATATTTTACAATTTTACATTATAAATGTTGATAAAAATTCAAGTTGTGAACTTTGACTTCGGAATCGAGCAAATTCAATCGAAGATAGTATCGACAATTTATCATTTGATCGAATATCTGATTGATAAGAAATAAACATAATCGGAGATTTTCTTTTCCTTCCCCTTTGATGACGCGATAAATTGAACCAATATATTGATCAATTTAAAAAAATTATTCTTATTAGTTTGATGAATAATTATTTTATTCATAAAATAGATTGCAAAAATAAAATCTTGGGCTTTTTTGTACGTGGATATCATTCTAATGCTACGGGCAGTGTAGGCACATTTGAAAATCTATATTTATAATTGTGCAAAAATTATATATGTATACAGGGTGTTCGGCAACAGGTGGGCCAAAATGTAAGGAGTGGTTCTACATGATAAAATAAGACGAAAATCAAGAATGACAAAATTGCGTCCGAGACTTTGTTTATTAATTATAAATATTTTAAACTTCGCATTAAGGGCGCCTCACGCACGGCAATTTTCCGATATTTTGCGTGCGTAAGGTACATCGGTAGAGTCGCCGTCAAAATACACTGTGACGCATAAGTATACAAAAACTTACATCGTAACAGTTGATGTATATTTTGCAAAATGTAAAATATTTATAATTAATAAACAAAGTCTCGAACGCAATTTTGTCATTCTTGATTTTTGTCTTATTTTATCATGTAGAATCACTCCTTACATTTTGGCCCACCTGTTACCAAACACCCTGTATATATATATGAAGATAAAATTATATATATATATATATATATATATATATATATACATATATATATATTTATATACATGGTAATATTTACTTAGATACAGAAAATATTTAATCTAGGGCGATATTTACTTAGCTACAAAAAGTTTATGGAAATCAAGATGAGGAATTTTCAGGTATCTTTTTTTGATAGCGATAGGAATTTTATATTTTTTCTGTAGTCAGATTTAAAAATTATATCATTTATATTGTTTAAAAAATTTCCCTTCCACATTAAAAATTATATCGTTTATATTGTTTAAAAAATTCCCCTGCCACATAATTTTGATTATACTACGCATGCATTTTCTCCCTACCACTTTTCTATTTTATCTTCCTTCTTATAAATTTTCTTGAAAATCTTCGCTCACTCGTCTTTCATCGCTCGAACTTTCAAGTTTGTTAGTAAAAAGATAGTTAGTTAGTAAAAAGTTCTCTATTTTTCGATTTATCGCGTCTTTGATTATTAAATCTTTGATTTTCTACGCGGTGGCAACTACCATGAACAATCTTAAGAAAATCGAGCAACAACCGCGCATGTTGCTGTCAACAACATACGGATTAAATTCATCCTACACGACGAAAATTCAAGTGGGTCTTATGACAGAAGACAACGTCGAACTGGATTTTCTGCCTGCTGTTAAATTAACATCTCACGGAGCTGCAGGGATTTGCTTCGACATGAAATCGTGGCAAAAATTTCAAGAAAACATGGATACAATGTCGCACTACTTAAACAGTGATAAAATTAATTTGAGCTCGATCATCTTTAACAAGATAATTATAAATTTCACTACCGCATATGGTGCTAGAGCTATACTAATAACGTATCGTGAAAACGAGCAAGAAGATCTTTCTTCCGAAACTGCGGAGGATGCAAACGCAAACGGACCGAAGGCGAAGAAACGTAAAACTTACAACATTGCGATAGTCATGCAGAAAACGACTTTTCAAGGTATAGAAAATATAGTTGATTGTGTGAACGCTAATTTAAATCGCCTAAATTTTATTTCAATTAATGTCAACAAATGTGCTCGATATTTAATTAACGAAATACAGTTAAATCTTCCTGTCAACGGTAGAATCAATAACAGTATCGTGAAACTCACGATCAGAGGTAACAGTAAGGAAATAGAACGTAATGTACGCACCCAGCTGAAAGATTTAATATTTCTCGATGTATACTTTGAGATAACATTTTTAGAAATAATTTCACTTTATTTCGAACAAATTGTACATGCAATCATAACAAAACGTAAATCTTAATAATTATTCGACGAATATTTTGTTGAAATGTTTGTGAATAATTTTGTTCTGTAAAAATATTTTAAATATAAACCATATTTGTACTTTTAAAACCACTGTTCGATTTTCTTTCACTTCCTCTTTCCAGAAATTTTCTCAACGTGCATGTTCCTGTTCACCTTTATTAAGCCGCGCGTTATTTTTAAATAAAATTTTATCTGCCATCTTTTCAACAATAAGCATTCTTTCTAATCTACGATAATGTATTTTTTTTATCGTGACACGAGTCAGAATGCTTGCCTGAACAAATATTTGCGTGTTCTTTTTTTTTTTATTTTTTTTATTACCCTACGGCATCGTCAGCCACTACCTGTCACCGATCCCCGTTCGACCGTATGACGCTTTTCTTGGTCAAACTGTTTTTACCCCATCCCGCCCAATATCGGCCATTTCATTCGACGAGCTATTCTTGCCATACGTATACCCGAACCTCCATACCGTACTCTACGCAACTTTAGCTTAAATGTCTCATCAAATCCTTAGACTAGTAAGATCTCGTTTAGCTCAGCATACGAGGACCCTGCTCGGAAACGCGGAGGTTCCGGGTTCAAATCCAGAGAAAATCAGAAAAATAAAAAAAATTCTCATTCCAAACTTTCGGGGCCAGTCGCCATTTTTTTCCCCCAACACTCGTAGTCGGAAAAACCAGACGCTGGTGATGGGGGAAAGACAAGCCACGCCCACGGCGCCAGAGAGGCTTGTGGTGGGGGTTTGTTTTGACAGGCCATACCTGCCACTATACTACTAAACAGATATGTCCACTATTTATGCTATTATTATGGTAGGAAATACTATAGGAACAAATATTCCTTTCGAAAAATTATTTGATTATGTAGAACGAGTAGACCAGAATATTTGCGACAAGAATTCAAGGAACACCAGATAAAGTTTAATATGATTGCACAAAAAATTATTTATATTTTGTAAGTTTGAATTTGTTTTTCATCATTTGAAAGTGCACTTTCATCATTACCATTTAAAAAAATATAAATTCTGTTTAATTATGAAAGAAAATAAATAGCAAATATAGAAATTAATTGCAGTTTTTATAAAATAGTAAACTTTAAATTGTTTATTTGTGTGCAGGATGTTTCCTGAAACGTTTGAAATGATTATGCAATTGATTGAGCCAGCTTTAACTCTAACAAATACAACAGGAAGAAAACAAATATCGGCAGAAAAACAATTATTAATAACATTATAGTTTTTAGCTACTCCAGATTCTTATAGGTATTTACTTTTATTCTTATACTCTAATAAAATAATAATATAATGACTATTTTAATATTCACTGCTATTACTGAAAATCTATAATTTACGTCATATACATACATACACTATAGATTTTCAGTTTTGGCAATATTAGAATGCAGTTTTTTTGTTATTTTTAAATGTAGAGTTGTGTAGCATATATATTTATTTTCGCAGATCAATACATGTCCAATTTGGTGTTGGAAAAGCAACAGCATTCAGAGCAGTAAGAAGGGTAACTTATGCCTTGCATTGTTTTGCACCAAGATTCATTCGAGTGGCCAAAAAATGAAGTGCTACACCGTACTATTGAAGAATTTGCGAAAGCAAGGTTTTCCTAATGTAATCGGAGCCCTTGATAGATCATATATTAGAATTAGAGCTTCAAAGGAAAATCCTGCTTCATACATATGCAGGAAACAATTTCATGTGATTCACTTGCAAGCGGTATGTAATGCAAAAACAGTTTTTATTCACTGCTATGCAGGACATGTCGGCTCAGTACATGATGCAAGAGTGTTGAGAAATTCTGCATTTGCAGAATTACATTGAAATGCCAAATGAATACTTTCCTTTCGATACTCATTATAGCAGATTCTGCATATGCAATTTTTCCGCATTTAATGGTTCTATTTAAAGATAATGGCCATCTCACAGCACTTCAAAAAAATTATAACTTTTGTTTGTTATCAACCAGGATGACCATAGAGCGAGCGTTTGGATTATTAAGGGTTCCGTATTTTGTTAGATTGCTTACTCCTGACTGATATAAAAAAAAAATACAAATTATATTAGCTTGTTGCGTTCTCCATAATATTTGCACTCTAAGAAATGGTGAGTTTCCAGATGTAGTATATTGTCACGTCCTGGGCTTCAAATTCTGCGCGTTTACGCGCGTTCACGAGTACGCATAGTGGAGGAAACCTGAGCAAGCGGGGCCGAGCGGTAGAACACGCGTGGTCAGGAGTAGGGGAAGAACGCGCGAGGACAGGATAACAGATGGAATACGGAGATTGGGAAGTATTTTAATAATTAAAATGTATAATTAGTTAGTACTTACTACCGTAATAATGAATATTATTAACTGATAATAAAAGGATATTATAATAAAGTTTGATAATAATTTATTTAATAAAATTTTTAAGTATTTCTCAATATCAATCGTTTAATAAGTAACAAGGTTAGTAATTATGTAAAATAATAAATACATCAATAATTATTTAAATTAGCAATTATGTAAAAATAATACAAAATCACCTAATCTGTAACAATGCTCAAGCTCGTATGTAAACAAACACAATGATAACTTATTAAATATTACGAGGCCATGTGAAACAAGCAATAAAAAATTATTATAAAACTTGGAAAAAATTTTAATTTAAAAAAAAACCAATTACAAACGTTTCGAACTATACTTAGTCTTTTTCAGTGCGCAATGAAACAATAATAATAAATAAAAAAATAAATAAAAATTCTAATAAAAAGTCGCAATACAAAGTCAAAATAAAATAAAAATTAGATAATTATGTCAAAATTAAAAGGCGAAATACGTTAACAATATATTGAAATTATTAAAAATAGTTCAACACGAGAAGTCCCAATTAGAAGCAAAAATCGAATTAAAATAATTTATCCGGCTAATCAATAAATATTTTAAAATTATTATTCAAACCTCAGAGTGGCACTTAAACATTACTCCAAACCAATCACTCATCGTTAGTCGGCGAAAGACTATCAGTCTGGCAATGATCATGTCCATCCTCTCCAAGTTATTTAATATTTGATATTATAAACTGAATTTAAAAAGAAATTTTATATTATAAAATAGAAATCTACTTATGTATATGTAAAAATTAAAAATTAAAAATTAAAAATTAGTTACTTGTTGCTTACAATTGTTCCGAATAAATTGAGATGACAATGCCTCTAATTGTTGTTGAACTTAGTACTTGACTGATGTCAAGTCATTTAAAAAGTTGAATAAATAGGTGTCAAGTCGCAAAACATAAACATTTTAATAAGTCTAAAAATTCGCTATTTCTTCTAGAATGTCAAAATAAGCGTTGTTGAGCAATTCGGTGTTTGTATTATTATTTATACCATGCTTTTGTTCCTTTATGTGTATCATCTCCGAGATAAGTCTTTTATAATAGTAAGATTCGATATCAAGTATTTTAACGTTATCCCAATCAAAAGCATGTTTTTTATCTACAATATGTTCAGAGACCACCGAATGCTTGGAAGAATCAAATCTAAAATTACATAGCAAGATGAAGGATTATTATAGTTATTTTATTAAAATTCCCATTTATAGCAATAAATATAATATATTGTTGCGTCCTCGGGACGCCTCTCGCTCAGTCACTCACACACAGTCACTCTCACTCGCGCGCGAAATAAAGACACTCGCATAATAGGGAAATGAACTTTAATATGAGGAACCAATACACGAAACCAATGAAATATAACAAATAGTGCATTCGTAATGCAAAGAAGCTCCGGTCTCGGAAAACGTCCGCACGATGCGACCGCTAGACCAAATCTGTCATGTCTCCCGAAAACAGAAGAAGACCCTTAGTTGTTTAACAACAACTCCCTTGACGACGATCTTCCGGAGGCGTAAAGAGTTGATCCCGCGAAAAGTATCACCCGATACAAAGATGTAGATCCAGGGGCGTAACACGGGGGCGCAACACTGCCCCCCTTCTTCAAAATTGTCGTCCCGACAATTCTCACGGAGATTGAAGACCTAGGACTCTGACGCTGCTATCAGGGCACCAACGATACTCCGCTCTCCCTTAGCTGCTGCTACAGGTTACCGAACGAAACGCCTGGTCCCTCTCCTTTCGCGTCTACACTGTCCGGACGAATCCTGCTCTCCCTTAGCTGCTGCTACAGGTTACCGAGCTTCGCCCTCCTCCTCTCCGTACTCGAACTGTTTTTTTGAAGAAAAATTGGCCAGATTTTTCCTATAACAGTCGAGTTGATAGAAGATATCCCTGCTGTCTTCGCGGTTTCACTATACTCGCCGTCTCCCGGAAGGATAACGAAATGGTCCATGAATCTTCAGACAAAGGGGGGGAATATCTTCCGTGGACCCAACGTTCCTCGTGAACACCCTAAGTCTCTGTCCCGGCATTTGCCCTCAGTCTCGTGGGAAAACCACGGATCAAAAACCACGAGAGGGACAGTCTTCAACGTGATGAACCAAATGACCAATCTTCTGAAGATGAGACGGTCTTCTCAATTGAAAGGAGCCAGTTGCCCTCGATGAGTAATGGTCGCAGGAACTTCCTCAGAGAATTCTCTTGTAACAAAAACTCAGGCAAGCCTCTTCTTAAAAATTTCCAACTAGAAAAGAAAACATTCCTTACGCAGAATAAATTCACCAATTAAAAAAAATGCACTTACAAATATACACACAAACACAACTCTCCAATTTCTAGCAATCTTTATTTGAGTTTTGTACTATTTCTAATTAACAATCAATATTTCTATCTAAAAATGGAGCTAATCTATCTGCATGCACTACTTTCTTCCGATGTCTGGGTGTCTTCTGAATGCAGTACACCACATCGTTGAATTTCTTTACAATAGAGAAAGGTCCTTCCCAATTACTCTGTAACTTGGGAGCTCTACCTTTAATTCTTCGAGGGTTATAAAACCAGACTCTCTCTCCCTCTTGAAAAAGAATCTGTCTAACTCCCTTATCGTACCAACTCTTCACCCTAGAAGATCTAATATTCATCTTGTCTCTAATTTCGGAATGGATATCATTTAACTTTCTTTTGAGAGTATTAGCGAAATTTTCTATCGAAGACGGCTCTTTTTCTTCTAATCTAGGAACATTTCCTTGCAATAGATCCACTGGAAGTCTTAGATCTCGAGCGAAATATAATTCCGCAGGAGTCATCCCAGTGGTTTCGTGCTTTGAAGATCTGTAAGCTAGAAGAAACATGGGAATCCACCGATCCCAATCTTTTTGATTTTGTGAAATATACTTCGCTAGATAATTGATTATTGTTTGATGTTGTCGTTCGACCTGACCATCAGACTGAGGATGCAACGCAGTAGTTCGTGTTTTCCTAATTCCGAGAAGCTTCATTATTTCAGCGAACAGTTTCGATTCAAAATTCTTCCCTTGATCGGTATGTACTTCTAAAGGTACTCCATGTCTTGAAATAAACTCATAAATGAAGATTTCTGCCACTGTCTTTGCTCTAATATTCTTCAGGGGAAAAGCTTCTACCCATTTGGTGAAGCAATCTACGATGACAATTAAATATCTGTTTCCAGAAAAAGTTATTGGAAGTGGACCTAGGATATCCATTTGAATTCTTTCAAAAGGACTTCCGACATTATAGATCTGCATAGGAGATTTTCCTTTTCCTGTGGGGCCTTTCTTAGAAATACAGACCTTGCAAGATCTGCACCAATTTTCAATGTCTTGCTTGTAAGTCGCCCAATAAAAGCGTTTTCGTACCTTTTCTAAGGTTTTGTTTACACCAAAATGACCTCCGAACGGAGAATCATGTACTTCCTCAAGGACTTGTTTAACTCGCTTTCGAGGAACAATCAATTGAAGAAAACTAGACTTCAAATTCGGAGCTTCCCACTTCTTGTAAAGGACTCCATTCTGAAGAATTAATGCATCCCAATAAGTCCAATAAATTTGAGCAGAAATGTCACGAGTCACGAATTCAGAACGAGATGGTCGTGTTTCTTTCATTTTTCCCCGAATAAAAACGGCAATGTCAGGATCTTCTTCTTGATCTTTACGCCATTCTCCCAGATCTTCTGTTTGGAATATAAGTCGTGCAACCATTTTCTCGTTTTCAGACGTACTCTTTATCTCGACCTTGGCACAATATCCACACCCATAGGTCTCACATAGTCGTCTGGACAATCCATCGGCATTCTTGTGAGATTCTCCTTTCCGGTGTTGTACTTCGAAGTCGTATTCTTGGAGTTTTTCCAACCAACGAGCTAGTTGCCCTTCCAAATCTTTAAAAGACATAAGCCATTTTAAGGAAACATGATCAGTACGAATCAAAAATCTTCGACCCAAAAGATAATGTCGAAAACATTTAATAGCACTGATAATTGCTAATAATTCTCGACGAGTAACACAATAATTCCGCTCAGTTTTGCTAAGAACTCGACTAAAATACGCGATAACCATTTCCTTCCCATCCTGTATCTGTGATAACACTGCACCAATTCCGAAGTTTGAAGCGTCAGTATCCAAAATAAATTGACTTTCTTCTTTAGGAAAAGACAACACTGGGGGAGAAGATAACATTAATTTCAAGTTTTGAAAAGCACTATCACATTCGTCGTTCCAAAAAATTTAATTTGATTTCCTGTTAAAGCAAAAAGAGGTTTAGCTATTGAAGAAAACCCTCTAACAAACTTCCTATAATACGAGCAAAATCCTAAGAAACTACGCAATTGTTTTTTAGTATGTGGTACTGGCCAATCTTTAATAGCAGTTATTTTTTCTGGGTCGGTGGTAATGCCCTGTTCGGAAATTACATGTCCAAGATATTTTACGTTTCTTTGGAAAAGCAAACATTTCTTTGGATTAATTTTAAGATTTGCTCTCCGTAGTCGCAAGAATACTTCTTTAAGGTTTTGAAACATTTCAACAGAATCTTTTCCAAAATGATGATATCGTCTAAATAAACTAGACACTTTTTCGAAATCAATCCGTTTAAAACCTTTTCCATAAGTCTCTGAAACGTCGCGGGAGCGTTACACAAACCGAAGGGCATGATCGTAAATTGCCAAAGTCCCTTACCGATAGAAAAAGCTGTCTTTTCTTTGTCTGAAGGACGAATCTTTATCTGCCAGTAACCACTTTTTAAATCAAGCGTAGAAAACCAAGTGTTACCTGATAACTGATCCAAAATGTCGTCAATTCGAGGGAAGGGATAGGAATCTTTTACCGTGATAGTGTTAAGTTTCCGGTAATCAACACAGAATCTCAGTGTTCCGTCTTTCTTTTTGACCATAACAGCCGGCGAAACCCAAGGACTTTGAGATTCTTCTATGATTCCTTCTATTTTCA